GGCTGCATGGGAGAAGTCTCAGACGTTGGCTCACGCCGTTCGGTCTCCATCAGATTTTGGTGGTCGACCAGGACGGCGCTTTTGAAGGCGCTCGATTGGGCGTTTGTAGCGCGTTGGGCATCGACGCTGGGCGCGCGCCGCCAGAAGCTCACTGGCAGGTGGGCCTGGCCGAGTCCAGCAACTGCGCCCGTCGCGGCGTCTTCGAGGAGGTGGTCGATGCCATCTTGGCGATAACATCTGAACGCGTGGATCTGTCTTCATTTCGACACGACGTGCGGTTAATCAATCAGTGCGCCGCGCGGGCCGCGCCACCCGCGCCGCTGCTTTCGGGCGGGCGCCCGCGCTGCCGACCGCGCCCCTGGCCGATGCCGCGCCCGCCGTGTGGGGGCGCACCGCGACTCAGGGCGAGATGCTTGCCTACGGGGAAAGGTGGTACATCGAGGCGCTGAAGGCGATTGCCGACACCGAGGAGGACGAGGCGCCCCACAATCCCATCCTGCGCCAGCCCGTCGACCGCAGGGGGCGCGACTCCCTGTCTGGCCAACGCGTCGCTTCTCGCGGCGAGCACGGACGGAAACGTCGAGACAAGTCCGTTTGCAGGATCCGTCGGATTTTTTCAAATGGGTTTCAGGTGCGAACGGCTACGGCGAGGGCGAATCTGCCTGGCTCCGGATTGGACGCCGGACTGTCCAAGTGGCGCGTGAACCACATTCGCCAGCAATTGGCCTCGAGGGCTGGGCGCCCGACGAGGGGGGTCTTAAGGGGCCCGAGACGGCCGAGCAGGACATTTCGGACGCTGGGCGAGGTGGCGCTGGTATCATTGCGGTCAAGCCCCCTCCTGGACCACATCGGGGGACAGAAGATCCGCGCGCGGGCGTGCGCTATACCAAGACTGCCGCCACTGGCAGCCTCGCCAGAGCCCATCCAGGGGGGCCCGACGCGGCCGATCTTGGAGACAGTGTCATAAAATAGCATTTCGGGAGCGCATTAGCCGATCGCGCCCCCGAACCTGCGCCACTCGATGCGCTGCCTCCCGCGCCCGCGGCACCTGCGCCACCCGCGCCGGCCAAGTGGGCTCCAGATTCGACATCGGGCCCCCGGCGTCGCACCGTCGACGAGGGCCCTGGACAACCTGTATTTCCAGGGCCAGCAACACCCTGGCGTGGGCCAGTTCGCCCGCGGGGAAGATCAGCGACACCAGCGCCGAGGAGGTCAGCGCCGCGTACTCGAGTTCTGTCGAGAACTCGACCCTCCGGCAATTCAGAACCATTCGCGGCGCATGCACAACCGCCAGTGAAGCGACCGCGCGACGCGAAGGGTGGATGGGCAGGATGCCATCCCGCAATCAAGCTTGGCCTCCTTCTTGCACGACGAGATCGGCGAGATCGAGTCCATCGCCCGTGATGGCTGGGGCGGCGTGGAGGAGCCGGCCTTCGCCAGGTCTCTCGCTGCCACCTGCCTCGGCAAGGGGGAGGGCGCTGACGACGCGCGCTGCCTGGGCTCTGAGGCCCTCGAGGGCGCCCCGATCGGCGAAACCTCGGAGGGCGCGTGCGGATCGACGATGTCGGACTAACTCATTGCAATCGACGGCTCGCCACGAGGCGGGCTGCGCCCACTGCGCGACCGCCCACTCTGAGGGCGCCACCGACTCGCCGAAACTCGCGCACTGCGAGCAGGGCCAACTGGATCGGGAGGAACCGCGGCGCGAGGTCGCCGCGTACCCAGACGACAAGTTCTTGGAGCATGTCGAGGCCCCGAGGGCATAATGCCTGAACTGGGATGCTTGGATGTCCGTCTGGGCCTGCTCTCAGGAAGAAGCTGATCACGTTCGACGCGACCTTCACCTTCGGAAGCGCTGCATGAGGTCCTGGGTCTGCTCTGTGACGAGTGCTTGGGGCCCATGGCGCGAGAGGCCAAGGCCCGTCCAGTGTTCTTGGTTTTCTTCGACCCTGACCTCGAAAGGCTGCCCCGCGGCGCACCAGTCCTGACCGACGTGGAAAAGAAGCTCATCTGTCACTTCGCTGCTTCATACAGTTGGCGACTTGGGAACGGGTAAGCTGAGACCGACTGTCTTCATTGTGGTGTTCAGATGGAGCGCGAGGAGGCCATCCACGTGATCCCGCCGAAAGGTCCGATCTTGCACGCCGCTGGAGTTTTCACAGCCCCGCTCTACGAAGTGGCGCAGAACTGGCGGCCAGTCCACAGCGCCCAACCTGCGGTGCACCGCGTGGTGGTTTCCCTTCTTGGCTTGGGGGGCCAGCTACACAGCCTCGACTCAGCCATGTTCCCGTTGTTTTTTTTTCCCCCCAGCGAGCAGGTGGCCTGCGCAGTGGGAATGCACGTTAACGACTCGCTGGCAACGCGCCACCCTGAGTTTGATATCGCGCCGATCGAGAAGGCGATCAAGTGGCGAGGCTGGCAGCGGGACAACGTCACTTTCTGTGGCGAAGAGTGCCAACGCCGCGCCGCAGGGCCGCATCAGGGGAGTTTGTCTTGTCTTTGCCTCTTCACCAGGCCACCTACACCAAGGTGATTGCAGCCGCGACAGTTGGAGTCGTGTCAAGCACGGGGGCTTCAGCCAAGCCGAGCCGCTCCGAGCGCGACGACTTGGGCCCGATCTGTCCGCTCTGTGTCACTCATGCAGAGGGCCGGCCGTGAGTTGAACTACCTGCATCAGGCTATGAAGCACGTGGAGTGTGCGGATCACACGTCCAGGGCGGGTGTTCTGATCGTCCCAGTGAAGTTGGGTGCCGCCGTTTTCGTGAGCTTCGCGGACAGCTCATGGGCCAGCATTCCTGGTTTGAAGACGCAGGTCGGCACGTCGATTTTCCTTGCTGACCGATCGGATCGATTGGGACCAACGCCATCACGTTGCTGTTGCACAAGTCCACGAGGACCCCTCGAGTAGTGAGATCTACCTTGGCTGGAGAAGCGATTACCAAGGTGGTTGGAGTTGACTATGCATCGCACCTGTCAAACTTATTGTCCGAGACGCTGACTGGTAGGCCCGCCGGCCGACATGCCCCGATACTTTCAATTATTACCGCGACGGACTGCAAGTTTCTCTACGACGCACTTCGCCAGCTCAGGCCCAGTTTGGCCGTGAATAGGACTGTGATTGACGTCGCTTCCAATCGCGATGAGGTCTCAGGCGAGAATTTTCTGTGGTTTCTGTTTCCTACGACGCGTATGAAAGCCGACGGCATGACTAAGGATGACCCGAGCTGAGGAAGGAGACCTTGAAAGAGTTGTTGTCCAGCCCGGTGTTTTCGTTGGTGGAGTCGGTTTCCTGTGACGAGTTGACTGGCGGTGATGGCCAGCTTCGCGCGGGTGAGTGAGGATTTCGCCCACGCGTGTCAAGAGTCGCGCACCACTCCCGTCCGATTTGTTTTGCCCACGATAATTATTTGTTCTCGATTGTTATCTGTTCTTTTGATATGTCAGGTTGCTGTTGTCTTATATCCGTGCCGCTTTGCGAATTCATGTCAGCCCGCCGCGTGTAGACCGCAGGCTTCTGGCACGCCGTGTGGTTTGGCGTTGGTTATAAGGTAAATCAAATCAGGACCAGAGAGAAATTTGGCAGTACAATCGTCATCTCGGTTTTTGGTATATAGTCTGGTCCATGCTGGTGTTGTTGCCTGCCTTGTCCCCTCGAACCGCATAATCATTTGGCTATGAAAGGGGCCCCCTTTGGCTGCTGCGCAGACATCCTTACCGACTGTCGCATGATGGACTTGGAGTAAAGGCTTCAAATCGCCACCCAGCGCCACAGTGTGCGCTGCAACGCGAACGTGGACTGAGGCAGCGTGGGTTTTGGCGACGGGCGCCGCTTCCGAGCAGCATCGGCGCGCTCCAGCGCCAAATCGGGCAGCTTCGTGCTTCGGGGGGGGGATGTGGAGGAGGAGGAGGACGAGAAGGAGGAGGAGGAGGAGGAGGAGGAGGAGGAGGAGGAGGAGGAGGAGGAGGAGGAGGAGGAGGAGGAGGAGGGGGGGGGTGATGGATGTGGAGGAGGAGGAGGAGGAGGAGGAGGAGGAGGAGGAGGAGGAGGAGGAAGAGGAGGAAGAGGAGGAGGAGGAGCATGAGGCGGAGGAAGAGGAGGAGGAGGAGGAGGAGGAGGAGGAGGAGGAGGAGGAGGAGGAGGAGGAGGCGGAAGGGAAGAGGAGGAGAAGGAGGGAGGAGGAGGAGGGATACCCCCCTCCCTTCCTCCCCCTCAGCGGCCGCCCCCCTTTGAGGCCCTCCCCCCCCAAGAGCACGCGGGGCAGTTCGCAACGCCGAGGCCCGGCTTGCTCCACGCGCGAGCGGATCGCCTCCGCCGCGCCGCGGCGGGCAAACTGTCGGGGGGTGCCTTCCCCGATCGTCCCGCTCCGTGGGTCCGCAATCCACGTTCGCGAACGCCCGTATTTTTTAGGGGCCCAGCGCGCGCACGTTTTGAAACGGAACACGTGCCGTGTTCCAGACGGCTGTGTTCAAAGCGTACGTGCTCAGTCTTCGTCTTCAGCTCCGTATCGATACGTTACGTGTTGCGTGTTGCGGATCGGGGCAGCTGAGCTTAGAGGGCATTTGGAGACCACCGCCACCGCTGTGCCCTGTCCCCCGGCTTCCGGGTCACGTGGCCCGGCTCGGCGACCGCTCGGGACGACCTCGGCACCCCCAGAGAACTTGTTCGGCGAGTAGCCGCCGATCGAAGCAGCCCCGCAGACGCCAGAGAAGATCCGGGGGGAGTCTTGGGAAGCTCCCTCCTGAGCCTACGTATCCTCCCCGGGGGCCCGTCTGGGCCTGGCCAGGCACGGCAGAGGCGCGCAAATGTTGTGGCGCATGCTGTCGCTCCTCATTTTCGGCCCCCCCCCCTTCCCTGCCAGCGTTCTCAGGGCGTATAGGCAAGCGGTTTCGAGTTATAATTTGGCGAGAGGCGCCAGGAGTGGCCCAGGCTTCGCAAAGGACGAACTGATTGAACTGCCCCCAGAGCTCGATTCCGATTCCCCTTCCGGCCGAAGCGGAAGGCCACGCCCGAGGAGGGCAAGGCCGAGCTGGAGAAGAGGGCGTTCCGCGCCGCCGCGGAGGACGATACGGGCTGCCTCGCCGAGCTCCTGCGAGGGGTCCCGCCAGGCGTGTGGTCGCGGTGGAAGAACGGCGCGGGCATGTCTCTGTTCGAGGTGGCGATAGAGCGCGGCTCCCAGGGCGCGCGGGACCTGATCCAGACGAAGGGTATCATTGCCGACCAGAGCTTGGCCGATGCCGAGGCCTCGCGCGGGGGACGGCGGATGAGGAGGAGGAGGAGGAGGAGGAGGAGGAGGAGGAGGAGGAGGAGGAGGAGGAGGAGGAGGAGGCAAGCAGTAGTTAAATGTCAGAGGAGGGCCAGTCGAGACACTGGCGGCTCTCCCCTGGTGTTTCTCCTTCCTCTCTGGGCCTCCCGGAGGGCCAGCGTCGAGAACGGGACGGGGTGGACCTTTGGAAAGGGCCCAGGAGCAGGCGACTGGTCCCGCCTCCATGGGGGAATCGCGGAGTTCCCCGGCGCCGAGCGAGGCGGCACTGGCCGCATGTTGGGGAGGGCACCTCCCCCGATCCACGGATTTGGCGACCGCGCGCCATATCCACGGATCGCCAATCCATGCCTGCGCCCCCGGAAGCTGGAGACGGGGGAGAGGCGAGGCGGCCCCATGGCGGGCGGGCCGGGCGGTCGGGCGGGCCGCGGGCCGAAGGCAAACGGGCAGCGGCTCGCGAGGCGAGCGGGCGGGCGGGACCCCACAGAGGGCGGGTCGGGCCAGCGGGCCTCGGCGGGGCGGGCGGGGCGGGCGGACGCCAGCAGGCGGGTCGGGCGGGCGGCGCGTCGGAGCGGGCGGGCGGTGCTGCGAGCCAATCGAGCGGGCGGGCCCCGGCGGGCGGACCCCCAGCGGGCGGCGTGGGCGGATGCGAGCAGGCGGGCCGGTCGGGCAGACCCTCAATTATAGGGGGCCACATGCGAGCCCTGCCCCTACGCCCCATCGATTTCAAAGGGGGAGGGTGGGGTTCACTTCGTTCGGGCGCTCCCGAACGAAGCGAACCCCGCCCTCCTCAGAAATCGCGGGGGGCGGGGGGAAGGGTTCGCATGAGAGGCCCCGTATCCATTTCGGGTCGGGCGGGCGGGCCTTTCTGGACGGGCCTGACCGTCACGGGCGTGGCGCGAGCGCGGATCCTTCCCGCGGGCGGGCGTGCAGCTGAGGGCGGGCGTGCGCGAGCACGCCCAGGTCGGGCGCACGGCCCCCGACGGGCGGGGCCGAGGAGGCAGGCGGGCGGGCCCGTCGAGGCAGCGGGCGGGCGGGCCCCGACGGGGTGGGCCGGGCGGGGCGGGCGCCCCCCGGCGCGCGGGTCGGCACAGGGGGGATCCTGCAGGGCGAGCCGGGCGGGCGGGCCCCGACAGCTGGGGGCGGGGTCGGGCGGGCGTGGCGAGCGGCGTGGGCCCGGCGGCATTTCGGGAACAGGGCGGGCGGGCGGGCCCTCGAGGGGCGGAGCGGGTGCCGGTGGGGCGCTTGGGGAGGTCGGGCCGTGGCACGGGCGGGAGTGCAGGCGCGGGCTTGCGAGCAGGGCGGGCGTCCCCCTGACGGGCGGAGGGCGAGTAACACGAGGACGCCGCAGGCGAGAGCGTCAAGAGGAACACTACGCGATAACTCGTGTGCGCATGCATGAAATATCGACTCTGGCGCTTTTAGGAGGGGCGAGATCGGGGAACATGAGGGCTTGGGCCCCCTCACGCCCCCTCCATGACCCCAGATCTGGCCGAACATGCCCACGTTTCCCCCAAACGCCGACCGCAGCATTTCCATGTTCCATGAAATCCGACGTTGCAACAAAAATGCGACATCGTGAAACATCACACCCAGAGCTTTGGACCCCACCTTCTGCAGTATTCTTCGAGCCGAATTGATCTGTGAGCACCTCTGTGCTCGACATCAGCGGAGTCGCACGGTGTAAAGCAATGGCGACGCCAGGATCGCATGGCTTTTTTGATCGCTTCGGTCATTCCGCCAGCCTGTTTCGCATCACTGTGTTTGCGTGGTGGTGTGCTCGTGCCCAGGGGGAGCGGTACGGCAGGCAGGAATGTCCTCGAGGAGGGCCGATATACTGCCCCATAGGGCGCCCGGATGGCTCAAGAGAGTTCCAGCAGAGTTTCGAGACGCACCTGGGTTGTGGGTCAGAGCCCTCGTGGATGCTTCTTGGGGTCTCTTCGGAGGGCTCTCGGGAGCCTCTGGGGAGCAGTTTGAGGCTTCTGGGAAGCCTCTTGTTGGTGGTTCAAAGATTGGGTCCTGAGGGATGGGGTCCTGAGGATAAGAAGGGATCCGTGGGTGGGTTTGCACTGTTTGAGGCTCCCTGTCCTTAGGACCCCATCCCTCAGGACCCCATCGTTGAAACACGGATCTTGGGGTATTCGTGGGGACCTCTTGGGGCTGGGTGGGGTCCTGTTGGCGGTTTTGGGGGCCTCGCAGGGGGCCTCGCGGGGGCCTCTTGGGGGCTTCCTGGGCGCCTCTTGGGGCCGAGAGGGCCCGAAGTATCCGTTCGGGCTCCCGCTCTGGGCTCCCTCTTGGGGGGCCCTCCTGGGGCCGTCCTGGAGGCTTTTTGCCACCTGGGCCACTTGGGGGCCCTCCTGGGTGCTTTTCGGGCCGTCTTGGAGCGATCATGGGGCCTCCTGGACCGTCCGGGGCGGTCGGCAGCTCGAAGTGACGGTACCGCCAGAGTCGTCCGAAGACCGATGCGAAATCTGCTTTTTGCGTCTTCGGGGCCTCTCGAAATCCTCTTGGAACCCTCCTGGAGCCTCTTGGGCGCTTCTTGGAACTCCTTGCTTCTTGGGACCAATGTGGGCCACCTTGAACCGCTCGTGGCTTGAGGCCGTGGGGCCTGCCACGCATTTGGCACCTCGTTGTGGCGCTCCTGGGGGCCCCGAGGCCGCGCCGAGGAATTCCGGCATCTCTGACCCGACCCTGCCGGGAATTTCCCGGCACCTTGTCGGGGTACTTTTCGTCCGGGGACCCCCAGGGGCCGCCACGCGCGCGCGAACCAGAAACATTCTTAAACTCGTACCAGAGATTTTCGCACGCCGCTGGCCCGAATTGGGCCGGCGAGTTTATTTCGATCGCAACTTCGACCCCACAACCCGCGCAGAAGTGCGAGGCACTGGCCACCCCACGGTTCCCTTCTGAGCCCGTTCGGCGTCGAAGCCCGTTCGGTCGCCGAATGGGCAGTCGAAGCGAGGACTCAGGTCCGACAGGGTTAAGGGAATTGAGCCCGTTCTGCCGCCGAATGGGCTCGATCGTGAGTCCATTCGGCGGCCGAATGGGCTCCGAGGCCGAACGGGCTCAGAACGGAATCCTAGGGTTCCTCCTCTGAGATCCAGTGCATTCGATGCGAGGATCGAAGAGGAAGCGGAGGACTGATGAGGCAGGAGGAGGAGGAGGAGGAGGAGGCGGAGGCGCAAGGAGCGAAGAGGAGGAGGAGGAGGAGGAGGAGGAGGAGGAGGAGGAGGAGGAGGCGGAGGAGGCGGAGGCGGAGGAGGAGGAGGAGGAGGAGGAGGAGGAGGAGGAGGGAGGAGGAGGAGGCGGAGGCGGAGGAGGAGGAGGGAGGCGGAGGCGGAGGCGGAGGAGGAGGAGGGGAGGAGGAGGAGGAGGAGGAGGAGGAGGAGGAGGAGGAGGAGGAGGAGGAGCAGGAGGATCGATTATCCACGAGAAGGCGGAGGAGGAGGAGGAGGCGGAGGAGGAGGAGGAGCAGGAGGAGGGTCGAGGATCCAAGCGGAGGATCGAGGATCGAGGCCGCCCGAGGCAGCGGCGGCGGGGTGGCATCGCCCGCTCTGCGGCGAGGGCTGCGGTCGCCTCGTGGCGCCCGGGCTGCGCCACGGGCGGCCGTGGAAGACCTGCTGCCGCGGCTGCGCGCAGGTCGGCCCCGGCACGATCGAAGCGGGTGCGGGAGGCAGGGGCGCGAAGGCCGACGGCACTTCCGGCTCCTTCCCCAATCCGTGCCTGCACGGAAGGGGAGAGCTGCCTTGGTTGTTCGGGCTGAAAGGTTTTGTTTTCGGGTTGGCGCGCTGCGGATGCCCCAACCCGAAAAAAGCCCAACCCGAAAAAAAAACCAACCCGAAAAACAACCCAACCCGAAACAAAAACCCAACCCGAAAAAAAAAAAACGGGGTCCTCTATCGGAAGTTGAGAGATTTGGCAGAAGTTCCCGCCGAATTCGGTAGCAGGTTGGGCTCCCAGGTTCCAGGTTCTGGGTTCCTGGGTTCCCGGTCATTGGTTCCAGGCCGATTTCGGTGGGTTCTGGGTTCCCGGGCTCGCGGGTTCCCAGTCAATTATCCACTGATTGGGATTTTTCTCTGGTGTAATTTCGAAGAGGGCTCGCCGTCGGCGTCGCCGCGGGCGTGCTCTCCTTGGCTGCTGCACCTCCCTCCGTTGCAGGCGCTGCCTTCCAGGTCGGGGGCGGCCAAGGAGGGAGGGGGGGCCGTGAGATCTTCCCAGATTTCATGGCGCCTCTTCTTCATCCCAAGCGTATCAACACGTCCTGGCCCCCCCATGGGCAGCGCACATGCCGCCGGTCATGGTTTGCGCCCCCCCCCTTCTTTGATACCCCCCTCTTGGTCGCCCCCGAGAACGCATGGGTACGAAGACTGACAGCCTTTCTGGTTCATTCTGAAGAGGACTCGCTGTCGGCGTCGCCGCGGAGACTGTCCATTCCAAACAGAACGCCGCCTGGCCAACAGCGGCCGCCGTCGATTTGGGACAGCAGCTCTTGTGCCCTTTTTGTTCGTATCCACTTCGGGCGTCCAAAGTCCTGGGCGGGAAACGTGTTCCCAGACGCCGGGCGCCTCGACAGAATCGAACCAGAGGTTTTTTCTTGCGCTTCTCGGCCTCCCGGGGCCCACCCGACCCTCGGGGCTGTCAGAAGACGGCGAGCAAAACTGATGCCGAGGAAGGGGTCGAGAAGTCGGGGGCCCGGGTCTTGAACAAGTCGAGGCGCCTGCTTTTTCTGGGGATCTGTTCCTGGGCGCCCTGGGCGGCGACGTTGAAATCAGTGCTTCCTGCATTTGCGCCGCCTTTCCACCCGCTTCTCCGTGCCGCTCCTGCTCCTCTTCCCCCTCCTCGCTCTTCTCGCCTCCCGTGTGACAGGGGCGGATCCGGTCCAAATCCGGTCCCACATGTGTTCACAATCCGGTGGCCCAATCGGACATTGCCGGGGGCCGCGTGGGCTCCCATGGAACAGACACGAGCGGGAGACGGGCCCAGATTTCCGACGAGCTTTGGGTGAGGAAGAGATGCCGCAACCGCGACCCTCGCCTCGTTTTTGTCTTTTGGGGTCTCGTGCCGGGCCCTCGTCGCCACGGATGGACTCGCCTCGAGATTCTGGTCCGGACGCACCCCTGGGGAGGTTGGGGGAGTGGCGGTGTCGGTATCTTTTGCCCTCCCCACGGCAGCACTTCTTTTGTCGATCGGTGCGCTTTTCTTCGACTGCGGCCTCCGGGGCCTTCTGTCGGGCCCCGGCCGGGGCCATCAATAACGGGTCCGAGGCGAAGGATTACCCCCCAGGGAGGGTTGGCGGCGCGCAGAGGGGGGTAGGGGGAGGGGCGAAGGCTTCTTAGAAGGAAGAGGCTTCTTAGAAGGCGCCGGCATTACATCTACAGACAAGGCACGCGCCTTCTGAGAAGCAGGGGTGCCTCTAAGAAGCCTACCGCCCTCCCCCCACCCCCCTGTGCGCGCCGCCAAGAGGGGTCGGGACCTCCCCGGGGCCGCGCATTGAACAGAACATGGGGCGTCGGATGTCGGTGTGTCCGTGTCCGTGGCCCTTGCGGGCTGGGGCGCGACTCCGCGTCTGCGGGGCCGCTCGTTCGCGGCCGCCCCCCGCGCGGAGCGCGCCCGTGCGGCCGCCTTTTCCGCGGGATCGCGGCCCGCAAGCCCAGACCGCGAGGGAGCGGATGCGCATACTCAGAGGGGGACAACACACACAGACACAATGAACCGTCGAGCTCCCAGAAAATATGGAACATATGGGCAGCGGGGGGAAGACGATGATAATAAGAAAATGGAACATCTAGGGAATCCCCGGATTTGTGTGTATCTATTGGTGTCCCTGGGCCCCCTCAAATACGCTCGCCGCCCCGTCACCAGGGGCGCGACCACGACCCCGCCTGCGCCGCGCTCTGCGCCAAAGTGGTGCTCTGCTCGCGGGGCTGCGGGCTGCCGGTGGCCCCCAGGCAGGACCCGAGGCCAGAGGCCGCCAAGAGTGCACGGTGCACACACACATGACGGGCCTGTTTCTCCACCATGCACCACCATAACTTGGAGGGGGAGGGTTTCCTCCTCCACCTCCTCCTCCTCCTCCTCCTCCTCTTCGTCGTCCTCCTCCTCCTCCTTCTCTTCGTCCTCCTCCTCCCTCCTCCTCCAACTCATGGTGGTGGTGCTGGAAACCAGGCCCATCAACACACACAGGCCCATCCCGAGCCCAGCATTGGTGTGAGTGTATACGCCTTCCTGGCCGAGCCAGGAGGGCGTACACCCTCGACCTGCACCTTCCGCACCTTCCGCGTGGCAGGTGCCGCGGCGGCCCCCGCCGCGGCATCGCGGCGGCACCTGCCGCGGGGAAGGTGAGGTGCAGTTCGCCCAGGAGGGGCGTGGCCAAGACCTGGCGTGCGTATGTGCATATGCCAATTCACTCTCCCTGCGGGACTTCGCCCCCGGCTCCTGTCCGTGGCGTACCTTTTCCTGTGCAAGATCTTCGGCACCGCCTGTTTTCCGCACCCTCCGGCGGCCTGAGGCCCCGCCCGCCCGCGCCCTGTCTCCCCAATTAGTGCTTCGCGCGCCCCGCTTAGCTTTTCACCGGAAGGGGCCCGCTCCCGACCCGCCGACCAAAAAAGTGTATGTGCATACCCTGAGATCCGACGCTGCAAACAAAAATGCGAGGTCGAAAAAAATCACGCCCAGAGCCCTAGACCCTACTTGTTTGCATCATTTTTCGAGCCGCATCGATCTGTGGGGGCCCGAAATGGAGCGAAAACGCCCGGCTCGAAAAATTGAGCCGCCAGGATCTTAGGGTGGCCGCCAAGATCTGACGTGCTTTGTGTGTGTGTGTGTGTGTGTGTGTGTGTGTGTGTGTGTGTGTGTGTGTGTGTGTGTGTGTGTGTTTCAGTGTGCACAGCTGGCGCCCCCTGCGAGGGGACGGCCCTTCCAGACGTGCTGCAGGGGCTGCGCCGTGGGCGAGGCGCACGACGAGTGGTGCCAGGCGGCGCCGCAGACCGACGAGGACATTGCGCGGCAGCTGCGGGCCTTCGACGAGGCGCGCCTGCGGTCGCTGCGGGCGCGCCGGCGCAGGATCTTCGTGCGCTTCCGGGACGCAGCGACGTGCCTGTGGGATCCGGTGCGAGGAGCAGCACACAGAGATCCGAGGGTATTATTAGTCTTTCGATCTGGCGTATGTTGTTCCCATCTCACACCGAGGGTATCATTCTTTCAATTCGAGGACCACATCCCAGAAATAATTTCGAGCACCCAGAAAGGTATCGAAACGGTGTCGAACCAGCATCGCCTCCCAGGGCCCGACGCTCAAAAACTCCAGCGTTTCGGTACTTCCTTGGTGCTCGAAATTCTTTCTGGCGGTCAAGGCTGAATCAAGCAGGTTGGAACATCCTGAATCTGGCGTTTTTTACTGGATTTCGGCCCCCAGGGCCCGTGAAATCGGGCCCGGGGGGGCCATCAAACACGGCTCTGAACAAAAACACCTCCCCGGGGAAGGGGTCGGGACCTCCCTGGGGCCGCGGATGGAAAACGTCACATCTCGGCGGAGGTTTGGGAACCCAGAGGGACCCCCTGAGATCTGGGCGTGGCAGTGATGCATCACGCCCGGCGATTTTTCGTCGGGAGTGCGGCCCCCGGGGCCCTCACACCGTTCCGGCTGCAGAGCATCAGCGGGAAGATGGGGTCTGGGGGCCTGGTCGTGATTTCTCGCACTGCTGCACGTTCCGCTCGCGACGTCGGACCTCCGGGAAGCAGCAGGGACCACCGCCACCGAGATCCCATCGGGGGGACCGACCCACCTGTGGGCGGTGGCACGCCCCAGCGTCACCCAGCACCTGCCAGCGCTCAGGCGTGCCGCCGCCCAGGGGTCGGCCGCCCACAAGTGGGCTCTCGGTGGCGGTGGTCCGTGCCTCTCCCCTGAGGTGTGGGGCCAGCTCGAGCTGCACGAGATCGACGAGGGCACTCGAAGAGCAAACGACAGCATGGGCACAAGCGTTCGGAGGTCCGCGCGGCTTTCTGGCGTCGGTGCCTCGAGCCACTCCCCAAGGCGGCCCCTCTGCCGACCCAGCACTTCGCGCGGACCTTCAACAATGAATGTTTGTGCTGGTGTTTAGTCTTCAAGGCACGCCGGAGGACTACATCCGGCGGAAGAAGAGGCAAAACATGATCGCGTTCTGCTACGTGGTCTGCCCCAGCCTCGTGGTGGGCTTCTCCTGCTGCCTGCGCCGGTGCCTGACTGAGGTGAAGTCGGGGGTCTCCCCCGCAGACGCCAGGCGGGGATGGACCCGCTACTTCTGCTCCATCTCCTTTTTGCTCGCGCTTCCCATGATCGCGTACGTGCTGCTCCCCTTCTTCGTCGTGGACTCGGGGGCGATTGATGGTAACCGCCCCTCGCGCGTACCTTGTGCTGCACCAACTTGCTTGTGGGGGTAGTGGACAAAGTCGCGTCCGCAGGGGATGCCATTTTTGTACACAAGCCCGCTCCCCAGACCAGTTGTGACCCCAAGGACGATTACACCAACTACAAGCGGCACGACGTGTATGGGGCCAAGAACGCCGCCAAGATCGTCTACGAGGGCGAGTGGTGGCGGCTCCTGACGCCCATCATGCTGCACACAGGGTGGTTTCACCTCGTGACCAACCTCGGCGTTCAGCTTCGAGCTGCCATAACGCTGGAGTATCTCTGGGGCCACCACATCTGGCTGGTGATATACGCTGGGTCTGGTGCCTACGGTAACCTGGTCAGCTGCGCGTATTTCCCCCACTACATCAGCGTGGGGGCATCGGGGGCGCTGTGCGGGCTCATTGGGGCCTGGCCCGTCTATCTGCTGATGACCTGGGACCAGGTCTTGGTGATCGAGGGATACAGCGCGCATTCATTGCGCGCGAGGAGGAGGATAATACTAATAATAGTTAGTTAGACGAATAAGAAGAAAACGATGAATACAACTAATACGAATAATCAAAACAATAATAGTGACAATACTGACATTAAGGATAGTAATACTAAGAAGAAGACGAATAATAATAATACTAATAATAATAAGAAGGAGGAGGAGGAGGAGGAGGAGGAAGAGGAGGAGGAGGAGGAGAATGATGAGGACGATGAGGAGGAGAGTACCTCAATAGTTCTGGACACCCAGGCTACAAGGGGGGCCTCCCCGTGGACTGCAAGGGGATCTCCCCCAGAGTACCCCCCCCAGACGCTACCACCCCAGACTGGGAGGCCCTCCCTCGGACTACAAGCCCCCCCCCCTCGCCGACGACAAGTCGGCGGCGAGCGAGGGGGGGAAGCGAGAAGGAGTATGCCTCCTCAGAAGGTGCGGAAGTCCCCCGGACTTCTTAGAAGCTTTCTAAGCCTTCCCCGAAGACCAAGAACAGCTTTTCAGAAGGCGCGAGGGCTTCTGAGAAGTCCCGCCGCCTTCTGAGAGGGCCTTCTCCTTCTCATTTCCCCCCCCCTCGCTCGCCGCCGAACGAGGGCCCCGCCCGGCAGAGTACAAGGACCACCCTTAGACTAAATGGGCCGCCCCCCGGCCATCCGGGCCCCCTTGACCACCCCACAGCTCCTGAGGTTCTAAGAGTGCCCCCTGGACCTCCCCCAGATTTGTCCTGCCCGGGATTCCAAGACGAATCTGGCCGTGGTGGACACCTGAAAAGGCGAAAACGGGGGGAGGGGAGAGCATCGGGACCCCGCACTCCGTTCAAAATCCTCTCCAGGACCTCTCCCAGTGCCTATCCTCCAGGCTTTTTTCCCGGCGGAGCCGGCTGACCTGAACTGAATTGATTGGAAAGGCATTCTTGAGAGCACACGTCAGATCTCTCGGAAGCACCAGCAAGCACATTTAGAGGACACATTTCAACACGCCCGCGGGCGCAACCGCAACCGCAACTAGAGGACACCTTTCACCTCGCCCGCGGGCGCAACCGCAACCGCAGCCGCATTCGCAACTAGAGGACACATTTCACCCGCGCGCGGGCGCAACCGCAACCGCACTTAGAGGTCACATTTCAATTTGCCCTCAGGCGCAACCGCAACCGCAACCGCAACTAGAAGACACATTTCAACCCGCCCGCGGGCGCAACCGCAACCGCAGCTAGAGGACACCTTTCAAACCGCCCCGGGGCGCAACCGCAACCGCAGCTAGAGGACACCTTCCAACCCGCCTGCGGGCGCAACCGCAATCGCAACTAAAAGACACATTTCAACCCGCCCGCGGGCGCAACCGCAACCGCAACCGCAACTAGACGACACATTCCAACCCGCCCGCGGGCGCAACCGCAACCGCAACCGCAACTGGAGCACACATTTCAACCCGCCCGCGGGCGCAACCGCAACCGCACCTAGAGGACACATTTCACCCGCCCGCGGGCGCAACCGCAACCGCAACCGCAAGTAGAGGACACTTTTCACCTCGCCCGCGTGCGCAACCGCAACCGCAACCGCAACCGCAACTAGAGGACACAGTTCAACTCGTCCGAGCCGATGAGGAGGACAAGGAGGAGGGGGAGGACGAGGAGGAGTTGGAGGAGGAGGACCCGGTTCTCCGCCGGGAAATTGCAGCGCGGAGTCCCCATTCCACGTTGCTGCCTTTGATTTGTTGTTGTTGTTCACTTGGGATGGTTTCTCGACGGCAACAAGGCCGAAACGGGCCTCGAGAGGCAGCACGCGACGAAAAAGGTTGATCTTGGAATTGTTGTGCTCTGAAGGTCTCCCCCACAGACAAAGCGAAACGGGACATCGTGATGTGCGTGCTCGTCTGCTGCATCGCGGCCCTGATCGGCACCAGCTTCATGCCCCTCGTGGACTCAGCCGCCCACTTCGGAGGCCTGGTGATGGGAGCCTTTCTGGCCATGGTCCTCCGCCCCCCTCCTCCCTCCTCCTTCTTTCCTTCCTCCTCCTCCTCTTCTTCCTTCCTCCCTCCTCCTCCTTCTTTCCTTCCTCCTCCTCCTTCTTTCCTTCCTCCTCCTCCTCCTCCTCCTCTTCCCTCCTCCTCCTTCCTCCTCCTCCTCTTCTTCATCCTCCACTTGCCACTTGCCGCTGCGCGTATGCATGGCTCTGCACTCTTTCCCCCGGATTGGATGCTGGCCTTGGAACGTCTGCGGAGTGCGGCGGAATACCATGTGTTTTGCATGGACTTCAGGAGGGGAGAGTGGTCGCCGCCTTTTCTGGAAGAGCCGATGGCGCTTGCCCAGCGTGGTGTGGCCCTTGAGGGTGCTGTGTGTTGCTGCTCCTTTCGGCTTGGTCCGCGGAGGTCGTGGCTCACTGGGGCTGCACCAAGTTGGCGTTGTTGGTCTGCTCTACTGCCCTCGGTCCTGACGTCGGCGCTCATTGCTCCAGCGGTCGAGCTTGGAGTGGCGCGGTCCCGAGGTGCTCCTCGGTAGGCTGCAGCAGGCCGAATGCAGGGCGGTGGGTCGGGTCTCGGCTGTCGATTCTGCGGATGCTGTGGCTCGTCCTTGGGCAGAGGGGTTTGGTTGTTTGATGAGCTCGGCCATCGTGACCATTCCCTCGCCTGTGAATTCCCTTTGAAAGTGGGTGACAAGGCTTGGCGTCGGCGTGCATGTCGTGGCTGTGGTGTTCCAGATTGTTCAGCAAGCTGGCCAGCTTTTGGTTGGCATGGATCGCCACATCCTCTTGCCGCTGGGTCATGTGGAAGGGGTGCGCGTCCCGCAGCTCGTCGGACGTGCGGTAGCTGTTGAGAGCTCCGTCCACATACGCCACGACCTGGTCGCATTCCATGCGGAGGTCGGCGTCCGCTGTTGTGCCCCTGCTGGTCTCTGCTGTGTGGGCCAGGCCGAGCATCTGGTTGACGCGGTGAGCGACCGCCTCGCGCGCGTGTATGCTGGAAACCACGCTCTCACGGTCGTATAGGTCGTTTCGAGCGCTCGAGCGTATGTTCTCTCATGCTCTCACGATCACAACGGGCAAGCGCTCGATGATGTCATGCATGCGTCCCTTGGTCCTCACCCTTCCTGTCATGTGGGGGGGGGGTCTGCTTGCGAGCTCAATTGGCGCGTCCCGGTCACGTTTGGTGTCGTCGTTGGCCTTCGGGGTCGTTGCGCCCCGTTTCGGCGTGGTTTGGTTCGCTGCTGTTCCCTGTTTGCTCCCCTCGTTTCGCGAGGTGGTAGGAGGTGGCTTTGATGGGACCTCCTGCCATGGGTGAGGGGTGCGCCGCTGCTTGCCCTGGCAGCCGCAAGCGGCGCCTGCTGTGGTAGATTGCATGATAGGCGTAGGCGTCAGTATTGCTGGTGGAGCTTTGTAGCGTGGCAGGGGGGTCGCTACGTTGGTGTCGCTGGTGTCGTTGGTGTTACCACCGTTGGTGCACCGCGGTCTGTGGGACGGGCGTGTACATTGTTGTTGATGTCTGGTCCCTCGTGGCTGCAGGGCGCCGTGCCCCCCAATGGTCGGGGCGGCCAACGGGTCGGGTCGGCTACGGCATTCGTGCGGTCAATCGTTGTGGAGTGTTGTTGTGCTGCGTGGATCTCTGTGGTGATCATGAGTATGTCGCCTTGGTTGGGGAGGGGTAGCTGCGTGAGGCGGCCGCTGTCGGTGTTGGAGCGCTTCAGGTCTGTCACATCGCTATCGTTCATGTGGTCGACATCGTTCTTGAGTCGGTCTACGCTGGCCCAGAAGTCGTTTTCGTCGCAGTACTTCGTAATGGCGGAATCGAGGGAGGTGATGTCGATTGCGAAGGACCGAGCCTGCGGCGATGGCGACCGCTGCCTCGGAGGCGTCGGAGGCGTCGGTGGCGGTTGCGGCTGCGTCCTGGTAGGCATGGCCATCGGCGGGTATTGGATGATTCTGTAGTCCGCGTCGTAGAAGCATTGCACACTGTCGGCAGATAAAAGCCCTCTTCCAGCCTGGTTGCAGGATCACGTTGCCTGGGACTGTCCACGTGATCTCTCTGGTGTCCAGGTTGAAGTAACACACCTGGTGAGTCCAAACAATGTCGTTCCCCTCGTACCTGTAGGCGATCCATGGCCTGGGTAGTGGCAGACGATGGTTGGGTGCTAATGGTAGTCCGCCAGGGAATCCAGAGCGTCGGTTTGCTTTGTCGAGCGTATGTGAACTCCAGGTCGGATAGTCCGACGGGGAGAATGGCGGTGGCGGGTTGCTCGGCGGTGGGGTCTGCGCCTGGTTGGGCGCCTGGTGGGTCGGATGAGCAGTACTTACCCTGTTGGTTGTCTTATTGGTTGCTGGAGAAGGCTGCTCACGTTTTGGCCGCCCGCGTCTTACAATCTGAGCGTTGTTGGGGAAAGGGGTTATGGTGCTTGTGGGGATGCGCGTTGTGAACCCGTTGAGCTGGATCTCCGCCTCGTCGTCGTCCTCCTGGCTTTCGTCATAGGATGACATCAGTTTCTCCAACATGCGTTCGCCTTCTTGGCTTATGTCGGGAGCGACGCGCGACAACAGGTTGCGGATGTCAGTGACCAATGTCAGCATGCGGCCGTGTGCAAGGATGCTAGCTGGTTGTACCCAAGGGTCTGGTTGAGGGCGCGGCGGTCTCATAGGCTTGGTTGCTTCCACTTGTGGCAGCTGGTTGGTTGGGACATGTTCGTCCGCGATCCCGTCGTCGTAGGTGACGTCGGCTGGCGCAGGCCAAGTCGGGTTGCCGTTTGAGGGCGGGCCGAGGTGTATTTCGCACCTTTCTTGGATCTCGTTGTCGGAGGTTTGGGGGTGAGTCCGACGAGAAACGGAGACCCCACCTATCGGGAAAACGATTTCGGTTTCGGGTTCGTGTCGTGCGTGCCGTGCGTGCGTGCGGGCGAGGCGAAGCTGCGTGGGCGGGCGAGAGGAAATCCTCCCGTGGCTGGGCCGCGGCTGGACCAAATGTTTCTCCTCCGGCGGCCGGTGTCCCGCGGTGTCCCGCTGGTGTCCCGCTGGTGTCCCGAAATCCTTCTGTGGCTGGGCCGCGGCCAGACCAAATGTTTCTCCTCCGGCGGCCGGTGGCCCGCGGTGTCCCGCCGGTGTCCCGCTGGTGTCCCGAAATCCTCCTGTGGCTGGGCCGCGGCCAGACCAAATGATTCTCCTCCGGCGGCCAGTGGCGCGCGGTCTCCCGCTGGTGTCCCGCTGGTGTCCCGAAGTCCTTCTGTGGTTGGGCCGCGGCCGGACCAAATGATGCTCTTCCCGTCAAACGGTGGCCCGCGGTGTCCCGCTGGTGTCCCGCCGGTGTCCCGCCGTGGATTGCGCATTTCAAAACATCGCCGCTTGCGGCGAGCTATCCAATGCAAGTCTGCATGCAAACCGACATGCACACCGAAAAGCACATCGAAATGCAAATCGGTTTGCACATCCAAATGCAAATCGTAAGGCGCCGTGGGCGCCACGGCGAGCTTTCCAATGCGCGTCGACATGCAAATCGAAAAACAAATCGAAATGCACATCGATATGCAAATCCATATTCAAATCGAAAGGCACATCGTCATGCCGTGCTGCATGCTGTGCCGCCGTTGTCGCTGTCGGACCGCAGCCAGTTGCCCAAACAAAACCGGCATACCAGTCGCGGTTCCGCCTTGGAGCCCGGCCGAACCTCCGGCCAGGGCCGGCTCCGCCCCCATGGCCAGTGCCGCACTTTCGACC